TCAAAAGTATCTTTATATGAGTCTGAAAGCGGGGTGTGCGATAGACTTACCACTACGTGGTGCACCCTGGGCAACGTATGCTCATATGGCGAAAAAGTCTATTAATAGGCAGTTGACTTCTGACTTCAAACTACAATCACCCCACTGTATGCCATGTTCCGCCACTTCCACTGTACCCATCTTACCTTCTTCACTCTACCTTTGTGTCTGTCTCTTTTACATCTTTGAAACACTCTTCTGTTCCCCCCCCCATTCTCGACTTTTGTCACTTTGATGTTCCTTCTCCTCTGTGAAGCTTGAAGTCAACTAAAGGGTTAATGAAAAACTATCAAAACGCCTGCCACCTGATATAAATAAATATGAGACCAGAAAGCTGCAACGGAATGCTACAAAGTCAGGATGCTTACTTGTAGAACAGCCATAATCCATATTCGATGAACTTTGAAGAGTTTCAGTGAAGACCGCGAAGCGAAAACACCGCATTGGTAAATCACCTGGTACCTTTACAAATCAGAACACAAAAAAATTCAAGCATCAGCATATGCACGAGCACTTGGCGTTTAATGGAATAAGTGCATTACAATTACAATTGTCCATATTAGAGTGACCAGCACTCAAAAGGGTGAGTTAAAATTAGCGCGATATGTATTGCATTGACTTCACAAAGATGCACGTGTGTGTGTGTGTGTGTGTAATAGTAACGGCTCCTGGCCATTACAATTGACCTACCAACGGAAATACCGCGAGGGCTAAAGACACACCTCAGAGGGCCCTGTCACATCCAAAGGTATCTAAATTAAATTTCAGAGACACTAAGTGCTTCTCTTTGTTATTAGATATAAGGATTATTTTTTTTTTGAAAAATTGCAGTAACTTGGTTTTATTAAGCATCTAATCTTGACTGCGTGTGAGGAGAAGGAAGATAACTGCTCCACAATTAAGTTAGTGCACGAAAGTGGGCATAAATTCGAGAAAAAACAACTACAATACAACCAGTGAGGCTTCGCGTAAAATAATAAGCTTATAGGAAATCGTAGTGAATTGCAATCGAACAACGAGGTCGTTGACTATCCCAGGCTCTCCCAGTTAGAAACTAAGTACTCCCCCGATTTACAATGGAAAGCGTCGAAAAATGGAGGAAAGGAGGAGGAGGAGGAGGAGGGGGGGGGGAGGGGGAATTTAAAAGAAATGGGGACTTACTTACCATCGGTATTGCTGAGCTTGTGTCATGCCTGCGTCTTTGAAGTAAACTAATTCAAACTAAAATAGGCGACAGATGAAGTTTTCGGTAATTTGAGGTTAAATTGACGCGTATAAACAACCCACCAATGCCTGATTTATGAGGTACTCAAAGAAGTACACCAAGGCAAGTGCAAAAATAAGGGGAAATATGTCCTGCAAAAGAATACAACAATGGGATTTAAAGCCTTGTAACAATCGACTGATTAATCAGTTAGTGTCGACCTTACCATGAAAATGCGTTTCTTATCCTCCCAAGAGGGAGAAATTTGGACAGTTGGGGTGTCATCGCTTCTTAGCAGTGGTTGTCTATTTGAAGGACTGTCTGCTCCATCCTCTAAGTAAGAGAAATAAACGGCAATAAAATCGGAATGGTGACCTTGAACTATGCTTACCACTAAAGGATTGCTGGATAGGTATATCGTGTTCGGATGAGTCTGGAAATTGACTGGTTCGAATTAATCGAGTGAAACGAAGAGAAGAGAGTTGGAAGACAGAATTTCGGGGCTTTTTGAGAACAACAAAGTAACTAAAAGGAGGAACAGTGAAGTAATTGGTGTTTAAAGGGATATCGTAGGTCACATACACAAAGAGCAGCGACAAGGGAGCCAGCGTGATAATTCGAAGGACAACTTCGGGGGACCAGAGAGAAGTCATAGCCGCGTATGACAAGGCACCAACAACACCTGCCGCACCAGTTCCAGATGACCAAGCAGATACTACGCCGCTAAAAGCAAAATTGTAATTTGAAACTTCATTCCTTATCAGAAGCCTTCCCTAAGATAAATGCATCCATGCTCAAACACATTCAGAGTTTGAAAATTAATCTCCCGGTTCGATAGCGTGAATTCGTAGTTTTGGATTGTGATGTAATCCCAGTTCACAATACCAAACTATCCCTGAATTAGCGACAGGGAGAACAAGAGGTGGAAAAAAGTGCATAGAGGTGCCGACTTTAATGCGTGACAACCATTGTTCCCGAAAAAATTGCACACTGTTGTTCATTAGTTCGAAAACATGGTTTCATAAATACCTGCTAATTATTTCCACAGTAAAATGGAAAAGACAAAACAAATATCCGATAATTCGCACATTTTCACTTGCACCTTGACACTAGCCTTGATTAAGCTCCTTCTTCAATGCATGATTAGAACTTCGAATTCATTACAGGCCTTCTAGGATATCGAACAATTCTTCTTAAACGAAATAGCTGTCTCTTCGGCGGTTCATTCTCGGGCCTTTTCCAACTTACCCTTTTCACCAATAGCACTTCCAGTTGTCCAGGGCTAACCTACTCAGAAACACGGCCAAATACAAGATCACCGTCAGTGAACACTCCTCTTCTATGACCTCTCCTCTGTTCATTTGTCTTGCCCTTCGGTATCACCATACGATTATTGGTACCAGCCCTTCCACCTGTCAGTAGTTCTGGAAGTCGATTTAAGACACAGTGTCCATTGAGAAGTTGTCCTGTAGGTCGTTAGAAACCTTCAACAACTTCATCCTCTACCACCTCCTCGTTAGACTTCGAAAGGGCCCTTTTGAAGTTGACGACAAATCGCTCGATCCGACCTTTATACTCCTAGTGATATGGTGGCGTAGGGAAACGACCAGAGATTCTTTTCCACCACTATCTTCTAACTCCGACGAGAAGAACTATGTTCCACAGTCTGACGCCAGAGTTACCAGAACTAATTCCATGCCAAGAGGCCACCAAAGATACAGATCACTGCTACAGTATGTTCAGACAACATTAATATCACCTCCTTCCATTTTGGGAATAAGTTCCCAAATAACAAGCAAACTAACTCATTGAATGGACAACAAAAACAATAGACAAAGTTGCTCTATGGTATTCCCATTGTCCGTCGAACTCTTGATCCAGTCAATGTCAAACGAGATAAGAGAACCACTGCTCACAAAGTGAAACTTTGCACCATTACTTCGAGAAACACAAATTAAAACGAAGACATCATGATACCATATTTGCAACAAATCATTAAGAAAGGCATTTTTAAATTGATCGACATCTGCTAACTAGCCAGTTATTTCCCAACACAATGATTCAGCTAACAGCAACAACAAATTTTCGCAATTTTTTAACGGACATAACAGAAGTTGATTGGATAAAGTAATAACATAATATAATATAATATTTTTTTTTAATTTAACGGAGGTTTAAAACTTACACATCGAAGAAAGCAACCATAGTAAGGAAAGTAACATCACCCAGACCACAAGAGATGCTTCCTAAAACGACACCTGGAGAAAGAAGGACAGTTAAACTGCAGAAAATTATACAAGAAAACCCAGACTGCAAATGTCACAAGAGTTACCGAATAGACTAGAGTGGATTGATTTAGAGAATGACACGATCAAAAAACCAGAAAGAGCGAAGAGCGCACAAAGAAACACCTTTAGACTTTAAAAAATAAATTAATCAAAGTTAGAATTTGCAAGAAAATAACATCTATAGGACCATTGGCTTACTGGAAATGTATTCGGCGAATAAACAGCGGAGAAACAAATTTAAGAATTAGACTTGGTCCTATATCCGCCAACAGAATAGCCTATGGGAAAAATAAAACGTTTTTCAACTTAATCTTACCCCAGTTCCCATTTCAGTACAGTTAACTTGGCCATTAGTGTTGAGATCAGAAGACTCCTAAATATATGAATAAAATCAGAGTACATTCTATAAAGCTCACACGAGTCGTATTATATTAAAGTGAAGTGGAAATCGAAAAATGGGCGAATAATTAGCAATTTACTTACCTTAGGATGATTTTTTTCAAGAATATCAACAGCTGCACTTAGCATAACAACATAGATAAAATTATTAAAGATCCCAAAGAGCCAAAATGCAATAGAGTTTCTCCATACTTGCCAAAATCTTTCGATTGTATGGAACGGCATCACAAGGCACCAATCAAGAGGAATTTAGAGAGCAGAAACGGGTTCCTCGAAAAGCGCGCAAGGTCAAGTTGTCTATTATTGAAAATTTCCAAAATATTAATTTTTTGCCTATTTTTAGATTGTATTTTTTAAAGCACAAAATTTATGAACAATTGCAGATATATTATGACTTAATTGATTTTCAGATATTTTGATTGAGTCAGGATTTCGATTATTACTATTGATTGAAGTTGCTTTTCAAATTGATATTTTAAAGTAATTATATTACAAAATATTTTTGCAAAATACTTCGGCGAGTATGAATTGCCAATGCGTATGTGTATTGATTGCGTAAATTAAGTAATTTAAAAAATCATACTATCTACTTGATATTTGCATCGCTTATGGTATTGAATAAAAGATATATGATCTTATTGTTAAGACGGTTGCCGGTGGATACTTTTTGTAAAACCAAATTATTTTTACTACAAACTGATTATCGGCATCCGGAGGCCGGTCCTATCTTAGGGATAGATATCGAGATTATTTTATTTACCACTAAAAGTATTGATTTCAACAGAATCAATTTGAGAGGTAGGACTGGTTTTGGAAGATCGAAATCCATGGAGGTCTGAAAGTATGTTCTGTTAGGTGAAACTTATGCAATTTCTTAACTTCGAACAAAAAACAACTATCATTTGAAAATAAGCATTTGATGAGTTTGGGTAGAATACGGTATGCTGCACAGATAGCTGATGTCATGAGAAGAAAGAGATACAATGAAACGAAGAGCCTGAATTTGGAAGTTGTAATTCAAGTTTTTGCTCTCAGGCCAAAACGCATTCACAAAAAGCGCTATGGTCGATCGTGCTCGAAATTGGTTCCTAAGCAATGGTGATATCAAAACTGAGGTAGCCCCACTTTTACTACCAACTCAGTTGAAGAGAGACATGCCTTACATACGACTTGTATCTAAAAGATGATTCTTTTTGTTGAAATGATTAAACATGAAATTCGTCCTATGAAAGGTGAGACTTTGTAAAGTTTGGTTGAGAAATAATTGTTGCAAGTATAGGCATGTAGAAGTGGAACCATTTACAACTCCAGGGAACAAACAGGACTTAAAATCACCATGTTGGTTTACACACTGGAAGTGGCAGATGCACACAGGAGGTCTGTTTTGTTTAGATTGTTTGATGGAATGGCCCGAATGGATGTCCTAGATTAGTGCAGTTGAAGGGGGTGATAATCTGTTGACCACAAGGTAATCCTGATTTGGTGCATCAACAGGTGAAGAAGTAAATCAAACGAAGTGGGAAAACTGTTTTGTTAGTAAATAATGTGGTGGTAGTAAATTCAACCGATTTAACAAAACAATGTTTAACTTTAGCTACACAACACGATAGAGCAGATGTCTTGGTAAAGAGGTACCTACTTGAGCCCACATTTGGGGTATGTAACAAAGAACGAAATAGTTAAATTAAACATTGAGGCAACATGACGGAATTCTGAAAAGCAAACTTCATCACAAGGACAAGCACACACACGCACACACACAGCTAACCACAATTGAAGACGTAACTATTAGGTTTCCGGTGAGTATTAAAATGTGATTCGAGCTCCATACAGACACTTCGTGGTTATGGTGAACAGACTCGTGTTGGAGTAGCAATATGTTCAGGATACCCGGGTGTGCGATAGACTTACCTCCACGTGGTGCACCCTGGGCAACGTTTACTCATACAGCAAAAAAGTCTATTACCTGGCGGTTGACTTCAAACTACCATGACACCACTCTCTGTCATATTCGACTACTTTCACAGTACTCATCCCACCTTTTTTTACATTATCTACCTTCCTCTTTGATACACTCTTCTGTTCCCCCCCCCCTCTCCCTCATGAATTTTTTACACTTTGATGTTCCTCTCCCTCTGTGAAGACTGAAGTCAACTAAAGGGCTATTGATAAAAATCAAAACGCCTGCTATTTGATATAATAATATTGTTTACTATACCCTAATTGTGGTGGGATGGTGTGGAGGTGGGGGGCGATAAAGTTGTAGTTTCTGACTGAATTCTCACCTACGATATCCTATTATTATTATTTTCCAATTGTCAAATATCTTAGTTCTCTTTCGGGGGTCACTAACGCAAGTCACGTCTAAGCCTTAATAAAGTTTTCAGGCGACATTCTCTGGAATGAAATAGCTCCCAAAACGTAATTGATCTATCACGGCAAAGTCGAGGAATTTTGGGTTGATAAAGTGTTCAGTTTGTTGTGATAAAATGACCATGAGATTTCTGAAACTAGTCAATGTTTAGTCTAATGAAAAATGAATGAAAAGTACTTTATTAAAATGACAGCCATTTCACAAGGCAATATTTATTGCGGGTTGCAACAATAGTAAGCCATGACATGTGCTCAATGGTCACTATGATAAATCGTCTAGTTTGGAATGGCTCCTAAATAAGCTTAGGTTACTCGATGGCATTGAGGAAGCAGTCTTAGACGTGGAACCCTTTCTTTTGAGCTGATTGCGCGTGTGTATGCGTGTTCGTGTTTGGTTGCGTGGTGACGACATGGAGGTCATTCATTAACTAATGTTTGGGTACGATAACACTATGGTGGCTATTGATTACTGATTAGTCGAGAGGCTTCTGCACTCGTGACTTCATTTGACCCCATTGCGACCCGCATCACGTCCGCAAGTTCCAGATTATTCGAGGACGCAAGGGATATTTAATGGTTCAGGCATGTTACCTTTGCGTTCGCAACACATCAACCAACTTTGGTCAATTAACTGGTGTGGCAAGTTAAAAACGAAAAAAACAATGAAATGAAAATCTCCTTTATCGTAGGTACAGTGTTGAGTTGATCGCAACGATTCGTGTCCAAGATGAAATAGGAAAGGAGTTGGAGATCAGGTTGCGAGATGATTTAAAGCCAAATGCTTAAAATATCATTTGTAAAAGATGTTTACATGATGATGGGGATAGATTTGGGTGCACTTTCAAGAAATAAGAGCATCGAAGTTGATTTCACTTTCTCCTATAGAGAGAGATGACATTTCAAGTTACTCATAGCAAAAATGCAAAGTTGAGGAAGTGTTGCCATCTCCATTATCTCCTCCTACAGAGTGTTTAGTTCATATAAACTAGAAGTCACAGACTCACTTCCACCTAGGAGATTTGAACTTGAGATTACAAAGGGGTGGATGTTCCATTCTCAAGTTGAGTTAGATCTCACAATGTGAATGCGGTTTTCCACTGTGTTAGGAAATGAACACGAGCAATGTGCAATGCAGTGTTACAAATTCAATATTTCTAGCCTGGGGTGTGCGATAGACTTACCTCCACGCGGTTCACCCTGGGCAACGTATATTCATACGGCAAAAAGTCTATTAACTGGCAGTTGACTTCTGACTTCAAACTACCACCACCTCACTCAATGCTATATTCGACTATTTCTACAGTACTCACCTCACATTTTTTCTACCTTAGTGTTTGTCTCTTACATCTTTGAAACACTCTTCTGTCCCCCCTCTCTGTCGACCTTTTCAATATGATGTTTCTTCCCCTCTGTGAAGCCTGAAGTCAACTAAAGGGCTAATGATAACCATCAAGATGTCTGCCATTTGATATAAATAAATAAATAAATCCTGAGGCAAGCTATCTTACAAGCATAACGGACTTCCTTAGAAAATTTTATCTCAAATATTAACTAGCGAAATGATAGCCAACGCACTTTCAAAATCCTTTGTAACCTTCAAAACAACCAGAAAAGGCCCACTAAAGAACCAATACGCTTAAACAACAAACTGCTTATCACCGACTCCGAAATAGCTAACTACTTTACGAGGTGCTATTCTCACAAGCAAAAGAAAAACCCCTTTGTCAGAAACTCTTCGAGAGAAATGAGGAAACAAGTAAGACGGTGTGGTGAGATTAAGGAGGACACAAGTATACCATATAATGTATTTACCGAACCACTTAACTTTCACGAACTCAATGATACGATAAAATATTTGAAATGTTAAAGTCTCCTGGTGAAGACAGTAACCAATACCCAGGGAACTCCTGCTGACACTATTCAATAAAATATGGAAGACCAGTCTCGTACTTACTCAACGGCAGTTTCCATAGTAAAGGGAATATTAAAAATGAGGAAAGATCCTATCAAGTTCGACAGTTACAGGCCTATCTCCCGTACAACCCTGTTCCTTAAACTTATGAAAAGAGTGGCTTACAAGAGGCCGAACTGGTTTCTTGAATGCAGCAACATTCTTGGAAACGATCATGTAGGTTTTTGGCCACAAAGATAAACAAACCAACAAGTATTCCCGCTCTCCCAACATATCAATGATTCCCTTGATACATGAAATACTCTTTCAGCTGTATTCATCGATTTAAAAAGATTGGCACAAAAAATAAATTGGATAATAACATTCATCGAACAGAGATTGCATTAAATCGGTTATGGAAATGATCTGTTCAGATCTAACCTTTTGCAAACAGGGCAACTACAAGGAGCTGTCACAAGCTCCTCTCTTTTCAACGTCTTCAATAATGGCATAGCTGAACTGGTTCAGATTGTCAAGGGCATCAAGTGCTTACTTTATGTATATGATCTTGTTCTATGGTATTTCGCACCTAAGAAGAACGCTCAGAAGAGGAAACTGGTGCGGCAAAACAGCATCCCAAACATTTTCATTGGCCCACCATGGAGTAAATCTGCATTTAATGTACAAGGCTACTTCTCCAGAAAAAACCTACGAGTTCACTTATCTTGGAATGGCGTTTGGCACATGGAAAGGCCACATTGCTAAAGAAGCAGACCGAGTCTCTAATAGACTGAAAGCTGATAGCATATGGGACTGTGCTTGCTCAACCCTAAACACCACTTGCAAAATATTTATTCAACCAATAAGGCTGTATTGTTCAGAGCCATTCATTAAAGCCTCTGAAGTGATTCTTAAATCGTGCCAGAAGACGTACAACCAGGCATTGTAATTAATTAA